GTAGAGACGTTGCCGGGCGTGAGCAGGGTCAGGGCCCAGCCGTCGACGGCGATGTTCCTGGGTGGCGCACATGAGAACGAGAAAGTCACAGCCGGTGAAGGTCCAGACGGTGGGACCGCCGGGCTTGCCCCGTCGTGGCCATCATGTTCTCGACGGTCGATCCGAGCCAGAGCATGCCAATGCCCGACAGCATCTGGATGGGCAGGATCCAGCTCTTCCTCCTGCCAAAGCTTGGGCTCCACACAGCGTCGACGATGGGGCTCCAGAAGAGCTTGAGGGAGTACGGGTACGAGGCGAGACTGAAGATGCCGATTTCGCTGTAGGACATGTGGTCCTTCATAAGGAAGGGGACAGAACCGCCGGCAAGACCCATGGGGATGCCCTGCAGGAAATACAGGAGGACCAGGAGCAGGAAGTTCTTCTGGTCCTGGATGGGGAGCTCGAAGAAGCCGTGGTTGTTCGCCGTGGGCGTCTTGGGGACGGGCTCGTCGAGGGTGAAGGTGTCGCGCGACATGAGGTTTGCCGTGACCGAGTCGGAGCCGGGCGTCGTGGCTTTGCGGCGGAATTCAACATTGTTCTGGTTCATGGTGGTGGTAGAGGCGGCGGCGGCGTGACCGTTGCCTTTGCCGTTGGAGGTGGCCGTCGTCGAGACGGAGAGCTCGGGTGGCCTTTTGTCTTTGGGCGATTTGTTTCGGCGGGTGCGGACGCTCATTTGATCTGTATAAGCTCGCGTCCAGATACTGAGGCAGTAAGGTCGGAGAGCTCGAGGCTCGGCTTGGCAAGGGAGGGGTATGGCTTGTCGGTCTTGTCGCAAACGGGCTTTTGGGGGGGGGGGTCGAGCCAAGGCGAGGCGGCGTCTAGAAGGGACGTATAATTATCAGGACTGAAGCGTCCTGGAGCGGGAAGAGTTGCGCGGGAGGGTGGGAAGTTGGGGTCGGCGGTGGGATTTCTTCGGAGATCCTTCGCGGGGATGACTGGTGTGGTGGTGTTTGCTCGAGTAGGTAGCTCAACGCGGCCCGAGTGACGGATGTCGTAGCGGAGGGTACAGCAAGATGATGGGAATGAACCAAAAGTGTGGAGCAACGCAGGATGGGACGGGAAGTTCGATAAGTGCAGATCTCAAAGATGTTGTAAGATGGTGTCGCTCGTGACTGTTGGATGCCTTGGCGTGAGTCGCAACCGTGGCCTTTCAGGAACGGAGCGCCAGTGGCGAGGGCAAAGGAGTGAAAGGTCCCGTCCGGCGCGCTAGGATACAAGAGGGAACGAAAAAAGGACGATGGGGGAAATG